CACATTTATTTTCTACCCAACAGTGGCATCTTTGAAAGAAAGAAAAACAACCAACTATCATCTACTTTCAAGTTCCATGTGCTACTAAAGAAATACACAAGGCAAATAGCTGTCCTCTGCTCTCCAATAAAATACTGCCCAAAGACAACTCAGTAACACTAGACCCAATACTGGCTAAATTTGGCTTGCATTGTAGTCCTAAAAAATAACCCAGCAAAAGAATCAACTGCCTCAACTCTGCTGTTTAGATACACAAGAAACAGTGGTAGCCTGTCTTTGCTCTTGTTCTCTCTGACTGCTTGGAATCATAGAATCACCAATGTTGGAAAAGACCTACAAGAACATCCAGTCCAACCATCCACCTATCACCAGTACTACTCATTCATTCAACCACGTCCACCAACACAACGTCTAAACATTCCTTGAACACCTCCAGGGTCGGTGACTCCACCACCTCCCTGGGCAGCCCATCCCACTGCCTGACCACTCTTCCAGAAAAGTAGTATTTCCTAACATTCAGCCTGAATCTCCCCTGGTGCAGCTTGAGACCATTCCCTCTGGTCCTATCACCAGTTACACAAGAGAAGGGGCCAACCCCAGCTCACTACAACCTCCCTTCAGGTAGCTGTACAGAGCAATCAGGTCTCCCCTGAGTCTCCTCTTCTCCAGACTGAACAATTCCAGCTCCCTCAGCCGCTCCAGACCCCTCATCAGCTTTGTTGCCCTTCTCTGAACACACTTCAGAACCTCGATGTCTTTCTTGTAATGAGGGGCCCAAAACTCAACACAGTACTTGAGGTGCAGCCTCACCAGGGCTGATATAGAGGGACAATTACTTTCCTGCTCCTGCAAGCAACACAAACCAGGATGCCACTGGCTTTCTTGGTTAACTGGGCACACTGCTGGTTCATGTTCAGCTGAGCATCATCCAATACCCCCTGGTCCATTTTCTCTTCACTGTCTTCCAGCCACTCTGCCCCAAGCCTGTAGCATTGCCTGGGGTTGCTGTAGCCAAAGTGCAGGACCTGACACTTGGTCTTCTTGAACTTCAGCCCACTGTCCTCAGCCCAGCAATCCAGCCTGTCCAGATCCCTCTGCAGGGCCTTGCTACACTCGGGCAGATCAACACTTCCTCCCAACTTGGTATCATCTGCAAACTTACTGATGGTGCACCCAATGCCCTTATCCAGGTCATCAATAAAGATACTGAAAAGGACAGGCCCCAGTACCGACCCTTGGGAAAATTACAAGTCCCCCAACAAAGTGTCAACAGTCAAAACAGACCACCACCACTGCCACCTCACACACTGTGTGACTTAAAAATCCAGGAACAAATCAGACCACTCACTCTGCCACTCATTCCTGCAATAAACATCATTGTTTCCATGTTGCGTTACAAATACTTAGCCTCACCACTGCCCTGCAGAGATAGGTTCATTATTATTTTATGCCTGTTTCACAGAAAGAGAAAGCAAAGGCCAAAGTGAACATTTTCAGAAGCACTTGCTTATGATTTGCTGCTGCTCTGGGGATACCCAGCTTATGGCACTGAATCACAAATATTCCAAAACAAACACATGCAAAAAAATGCGAACAGCTAATTTTTGGACTGCAGCTCAGAACAATACTACTGGCCAAAAACATGTTGCCCCCGCTTTCCCTTCTCACACAGTAAGCAGATTATGAGGAAACTTTTTGTCAGAAGACTTCACCATGCAAGCTGTCATTGGGAAGTGCTCAAGAACCCAGACAACTTTCTAAAAGGCAGGTGTAACTGTGATTTTACCTTCTGCTTATCACCACTTCTATCAGCAGAGCGTCACTGAACTGCCTCCCTCCAAAAAGCAATTTGAGATGCAAGGTACAAAAATACATGTAAATTATCATTAAAGGATCCTCTGTTTAATTGGGGCATTTCAGACCGGGGCTGCTGTTTTAATGGGTTGCCTCCCAGGAAACTGACTTCTTCTATAATGACACAGTGAATAGTAACGACCAGTGTTTAATTGGGACACTTAGTAAAATCTAGCTTCAAAGGGATTAAATAGGCTGCTGCAAAGGAGTTAAGTGATTAATCAGATGTTAAATACGTATGTACTTTTATACTGTGGCTTTCTCCTATGCAATCCTACACACTCTGAACTTAACGGGAGTTTTGTCACTGACACTAACACAAGAAGCATCAGCCTCTTAGTAGAGGCTCACCACCAGCCTTGCACACTTGAGCACTGGTGGAACCAGATGTTAAGTGTTGGACTTCTCTCTCGGAGAAAGAAATACATATATACATATCTGCCACAAAGCAAATACATAGCAATATACAATTGCACATACCTACTTGACATGAGCAAAGATACTACTGCAAGTTTATATTGATTACAAGTAGTCAAATCTGTACCAAAATTTCATCACCTTGCAGTTTTCCTAAAACTTAGAGTGTTTCTCCAATAGATAGACTGTGCACTGAGCATCCCAAGCACAAATAGAGCCTGAGCCTTCACTCCCTTCATTAGAGCTTTCCACGGCTCATCGCTCAGCTGCTGGGGAATTTACGGCACAGCCTTGCCCCATGTTGGGGCAGAAAAATAAAAACAGAAAAAAAAATCACCAAAATGCATTCACCATTACCACCTCTGCCAGTTCACAAACCCCTAATGCAAAACCTCAGAGGGAAACTACTTCTCAGAGCAACACAGCGGCTCTGTAGCCATTCTGATAGGCATGGAGCTTGCTCCCATGCCCCAACCCACAGGATGCAGAAATAATGGTGCGCCCGTACAGTCACACAACTGCTAAGCAGACCCTCCAAAATCTGGGTGCCCACCATAACTGGCTTTCGCTCCATCTGTCTGAAACAAGTGCCCAAAAAGCCAACGGTACTAAGGAAAATCGAACAGAAAGTTATCCAGAGTGGTTTGAAGAAACGTTATCAGTTGAAATCCACTTTTCTGTCTGAAAGACCTGCTATATTTGAAACTATTAAAACCAGCACTAGGAGACGAGCCAAAAAATTCTCTGCGCCCCTTCTAACTGTTTCCTGTGTTCGGATGGCCCCGTATTCACTAGCACTCAGGACAATGCCTTAAGTGCTGCACCTGAATGGCAGCTTCTGCTTAGGCAAAGATTGCTGTGAGAGCCCGCACATGGACAAAACATTCTGAGCAGTAAAAATAGGTCCAGACTGCAATGCTTGGAACAGGTCACTTAAAATAGGCATTTCACATTCCATGTGAACCTGCTTAGTTAAGTGTAATGAAAAAAAAATCAGTGGTCAGTCATTTGAAGACTCCAGTACACATTTCCTTGGCTCTCTCCCGACATGGATGCATCCCTCTCCAGACAACTCGGGAACACACTGCACCAAGGCGAGGAAAGGACCACTTTTTCTGTTCCCAAAACCAGCAGCACTCTTATTGCTGACCCGCTGAGAACAGAAGCCTCCAATTCAAAGCGACCCATCTCCAAAACAAGGAAACGCAACCCACCCCACACTACTTGTCTCTGACGTTCGTCCAGAGATCACACCCGACATTCCCGTGGAAGTTACGAACAAACGCGGCGCAGCTGAATTGCAGTTTCTGCGTGCAGGAGTTTGCTCGGCCAACTGTACGCGCCTGCCTGCGTTAGCGCTGTGCCGCTCTGCAATACGCACACACCGCTCCGTGACCCCATGTGTCCGCCGTGCTGCGGGAAGCCCAGCCGGACCCCGAGGTATGGGACCGTAGAGCACTTAACCCAGAGACAAAACAGAGCCAGGCGCTTCACACCGCAGTCACGACAAGAACCCGAAAGCCTCCTCGGCCCAGAGGTGTCGAGGGACAAAAAGCGTGGTGCTGACCGCTGCGCCAGGTTCGCTCCCTTCTCCAGGGAACGGGGCGAGCGGCATGGGAGGGGGACGCGGGGAAGGGGGGGGGGGGGAGAGGGGGGGCGCTGCCCTCTGCGGGGTGGGAGGGCGCCGGATGAGAGGGACGTTGGGGTCTGTCTGCACTGCCCGCGGGGTGCCAAAGGGACAAGAAAAGAGGCGAACTAAAAAAATAACATTAAATAAAATTAAATTTAAAAAAAGGTCAAAACAAACAAACAAATTTAAAAAAAAAAAAAAAAAAAAAAAAAAAAAAAAAAAAAAACTCGGGTAATAAAGAATAAAGCCAACCAAACAGAAGGGGAAAGCCGTGCCGTGCCCGCGGGAGCCCCGAGGAGCGCATCCCCTCTCGGCAGGAAACTTTCTCCCAACTTTGCGCCCCGACCCGAGGCACCGCCGCTGCCGTCCCCGCGTGAAACAGCGCGCCTCACCCGCGGGGCCGGCGGCGGGCGCGGAAGGCAGGGGGGCTCGGCCCCAGCCGGAAAAACAAGTAGACACAGACGAGGCGACAAAAAGCAGCAGAAATAAACTAAACCCGGCAAACAAAGCTAAGCGAGGCAGCGTGACACTGAGGCACGGCGGCAGCGGGCGGGGCGGCGGGCCGGCTCGTTACCTTGATGCAGCACTGGGCAGCAGGCTCAGACATCTCTCAAGGAGGAGCTCCGCGCAGCCCAGCGGGCGGCCGGGAACTTCTGGGGCTCTTCCCACCTCCCGTTCCCCCGCCGGCCCCTCAGGAGGAAGTTGCGGCCACCACCGCGGCCCGCGGAGCTGCCCGGGATCCCCTCCCCGCCGCCGCGCTCCGGGGGGCGCTCGGAAGCTGCCGCCCCCCCGCCGCGCGTGGCCGTGTGCGCGCGTGTGCGGGACCGCGCGTGTGTGAGCGCGCGTGTGCGCGGGGCAGGGGGGAGAGCGCGAGGCGGGGGGAGGGAGGGAAAGGGCGGGCGCTGCCGCCGCGGCCCCCGCTGCCCACCAGTGTTTTCCTTCCTGGAAGAGAAACCGAAAGGCGGCGCGGGCCCGGCCGGCCGTGCCCCGCCCATGAAGCCGGAGTTTCGGGGGCCCGAAAGTGACGTGAGTTCCCGGCAGCCGGCCCCGCCCCTTAAAGGTGCCGCCGCGGCGCGAAACGGCCGTGAACGGCAGCCGCCCGCGTGCGCCCTGGCGCTGAAGGACAGCCGAGAGGAAGGGGTCTGGGCGGGCGCGGCGGCTGGGGCAGGCGTGCTGCGTTCTGCGCCGCTCCGCCAGGGGGAGGCGGCGCGGAAGGGCCGTTGAGACGCGCCAGCGGGGGCGGAGAACCCGGCGAACGGGTGGAAGGTGCTGAGGGAGGCGGTGAGCGGAACGGCGACGACAACAATGGCCTTTGTTCCGCACGCGGAGCGGCCCCTTTAAGAGCCTGGAAGTGGCACGGGAAGTCCGGGCAGGGCGCAGCAGTGGCTCCGCGCGGTCCTACAGTAGGCGGCGGAGGAGACGAGGAGCCCCGAGTAGGGATGCGGTGGCTGGGGGGGCCTCGCCGCCCCACGCACACACACTATGGAGAAGGGAGCTCCGCGCTTCGCAAAGAGCGAGCGTGGCGCGACGCCCGGCGCTCAAAGGGAAGCACCGCGCCTTAGCTGGCGTGCTGGGGACGCGGACTCTTTCAGCCCTTATGGCGTGGCCGCGGCGCGGAAGCGCCCGGCTCTGTTTTGTCGGTCGGGTTCCAAGCCTCGGGGTCCGCCTGGGCTTCCCGCAGCACGGCGAACACATGGGGTCACGGAGCGGTGTGTGCGTGTTGCAGAGCGGCACAGCGCTAACGCAGGCAGGCGCGTACAGCTGCGCCGCGTTTGTTCGTAACTTCCACGGGAATGTCGGGTGTGATCTCTGGACGAACGTCAGAGACAAGTAGTGTGGGGTGGGTTGCGTTTCCTTGTTTTGGAGATGGGTCGCTTTGAATTGGAGGCTTCTGTTCTCAGCGGGTCAGCAATAAGAGTGCTGCTGGTTTTGGGAACAGAAAAAGTGGTCCTTTCCTCGCCTTGGTGCAGTGTGTTCCCGAGTTGTCTGGAGAGGGATGCATCCATGTCGGGAGAGAGCCAAGGAAATGTGTACTGGAGTCTTCAAATGACTGACCACTGATTTTTCATTACACTTAAAATAGACATTTTACATCACACACAGTGTGTTTGGGGCCATGTGTGAGGTCATAACCCTCCCTTGTTCCTGCTGTTTCTGTGGATATCTCCTGCTCTTCCATCCCAGCCTTCATCACAAGATGTGGTGAGAAAGACTCCAGCTTGCCCAGGACAGGAGGTTGCTAGGATCTGCTGGTAGGCATCCTGGGGCAGGCTGCCGCAGGCCATTTTGCATACCAGGACCAACTAACTCCCTGTGCTCTCTTGCAGCTTGTTACAGCTTCATTTTAAGCAGTCCAGGAAACTAAAAAGGAGGAAGGGAAAATAATATTCTCTCTCAGCTTAGCAACTGATGAGTTCCTAATATAGAGCCAACTCAATAACAGAAATCTTGTCTACCCTGCTCTGCTCAACAGGACTGCACTGCTGGAGAAGAGTCATTGCATCTTGATTGCTTTTATGGTGCAACTCTCTCTGCTATTATTCTCTCTACTTCATCATTGTATGACATTTCCCCTTTCATCCTGTATATGAATACTGCTGGCTTTTCCCAAGTGCTGAGTCATTATTTTGTACCTCATGGCAAGAGAGTTTTGTGATTCCTTATGTTAAATGTAAAAATTAGAGATGGAAAGGACCTGTTAGGTCATCCACTGCACATCCCCACTGGTACTATATTTATAGCACGTGATTGATCCATCCACATTAGTTTTAAGTTACGTAATGGGACTTGCACCTCTTCCTTTTGGAGTCTGTTTCATGGTCTAACAGCTCCTGTGGTTGGGAAATTATTTGGTCCATATTTTCATTTGTCCAATTTCACCCAACTATTCCTGGTTATAAATGTATTTTACTACCCTAGTTTTTTTTCTTTTATGGCTCTCTGTGCTTTTCACCTAGGTATCACTTCTTTCCTAGCCATTGACATTTGTTCTTTTCATCTCCTTTTTCATCAGTCCCTGCAGCCACTTTGTTACCATCATTGGTCTTTCTTACCCATCTCACACTCAGCCACTTTTAGAAACAGTGTCTTCTCCAGTCCTTTGTGAATGTAGCCAATGCTCCATAATGGTTTAGTCTGTCTGTAAGTTGCCTCACCAGCTTCAAAATTTGTCATCTGCCACCACCGTGAATCAGTGTTATGGACCCTCTTACTCCTCAATATTTCCTCTTGCAATATAATTGTAATCTAATATTGTCCATGACAGTTATGGTGAAGCTGTGTGTCCTGGGTCTAATTTTTTTCTGCCCATGGTTTTGACATCCGTATGTCCACTCTTTCAGGGTTCTCTGGTATCTATGCAAATTTTCATCCATTTTGATTTCTGTCATTAGTTGCCATCTCCTGAGACCTCAAACTACATGGTCCTGGCTGCTGTGCTGTATAGAAGACAGGAAATGCTGCCACGTCTCCTGGTAAGCAGGATGGTCTGTGGCTGCACACAGTTGCTCTGGGCATATGAGGAGAAAGCTTCTCCAGCTGTCAGCTTCTCTTTAGATCTGTTCTGTATGGAGATTGCCCAGAGCAGAATGGAAGTGCATTAGCTAATATTAAACCTTGAATGGGCTCCCAGCTGATTTCTTTCCCTCCTACCAAGAGTCTACTGCTTAGCTTACCTACAGGGAGGATCCTGTAGTTCAGAGCAAGATTTATGATCTCACAGAGTCACCTTTCATAGATGCCCTTGCCAGAAATCCCCTAACTTTTTGCTCAAATAGATGGTAGCAATACTAATTCAGGCAAAAGGTAACCCTATTCTGGCCTGCAACGTGACACCAAGTTTCTGCCTTTATTAGGGCTGTCATGGGAAGGGGAGACTGTGGTATTGGAAGGCAACAGCAGCAAGAGAAAGCTGTAAACTGAAGAACGATCTTTTTGCTTGTAGTGGCCTGAAAATCTGGCATTCGGTGTTCATACTTATAGTCTAGAGTATGTCCCTGAAAACAGGGCAAGCCCCTGCTTGTAGTAGGTGACTCCCTTCTTAAAGGCACTGAGGCTCGCTCCCCTCTGCTTGCCTGACATGGCTGTCTAGAGAGGCCTGCTGCTTCCTGGGAGCCAAGATCTGAGAAATTGCCAAGGGAGTGCCACCGTTTGTCAAGAGCATGGAACTACCATCTCCTACTGCTCTTTCATGTGGCCATGAATGGCAATGGAAACTGGAACATAGGCAGAATCAAAGAAGACTATAAAGCCCTGGCTGCACATGTGAAGAACACTAGTGCCCTAGTTAACTTCTCTTCAGTTTTACCAGTTGGAGGAAAGAGGGCAGTCAAAAATAGACTTATAATGCATATCAACTCCTGGATATGTGGTTGGTGCAAGAAGCTTTTGTTTCTTACTACAGCGGGACTTTCTATGAAGATTATAACCTGTTAGGGAAGGGTGGGATCCACCTGCCTAGAAGAGGCAGGACAACTTTTGGCACAGGCTAGCTAACATAGTAAGGTGAGCTTTAAACTGAAGGACTGTGGGAGTGGGATCAAAAATGCAATTCCCATGGCACACTCACAACTGGAGAATGAGCCAAGCCAATCAGAACTGTGATAAATGTTCCTTAGCTGCCTCCCATGAGATGAGCCTGAAGAACAGTCACTTCAATGATGTGTATAGCTGTGGGGAATGCTCCTGCATTTCTCTAGAGAAACCTGCATCCTCAGCTCCTTGTTCTTCCCTGAAACGACTTTGTACCAACGTGCACAGTGTGGCAAATAAGCAGGAAAAAAAGAGAACCATGTGAAGTTGCAGGACCTTGATCTCATTGTGATCACAGAGACATGGTAGGACAGCTTGCATAACTGGAATGCTGTCATAGTTGGTTATGTACTTTTTAAGACAGACAATGGGCCAATAAGACGAGATAGTGGAATTGCTCGTTGTGTGAGAGAACAACTTGTGTTGAGTTCTGCCAGAAGATGAATGATGAACCACTGGAAAGGTTATGGGTGAGGATTAAGGAGCAGGCTAATATGTGTGACACTGCTATGGGTATTTACTTCAGACCACCTGATCAAGAGGAGGAAGTTGGTGAGTCCTACAGTCAGCTGAAAGTAGCAGTTTGCAATCCTGGGCTTCAGGAGAGCGAACTATGACCTCTTCAAGGACCTATGTGGATGTATCCCATGGGTTAGAGCATTGGAAGGTAAGGGAGCCCAAGAGAGTTGGTTGATTTTCTAGCACCACTTCTTCCAGGCTCAAGATTGATGCATCCCTAAGATTTATAAATCAAAGGTGGTAGGGATACACATGGATGAGCAAGGAGCTCATGGAAAAAAATCAGTGGAAGAAGATAGTCTACGGGATGTGGAAAGGGGGTCTGGTCAGTTGGAAGGAATGTGGGAACATTGTCAGGGTGTGCAGGATTGCAATGAGGAAGGCTAAGGCCCACTTGGTATTAAATCTGGTGAGAGAGATCAAGGAGAAAAAGAAAGACTTCTTTAAGTATGTCAGTAGTAAAAGGAAGACCTGGGAAAATGTGGGTCCACTGCTGAATGAGATGGATGTCCCACTTACAGAGGACACTGAAAAGGCAGAGTTACTGAATGCCTTTTTTGCTGCGGTCTTTACTCCTAATGCTGTTCCTCAGAAATCCCAGACCATGGAGGTAAGAGAGAGAGTCTGGGGAAAGAAAAATTTCCCCTGTTTGTGGAGGTTCTGGTCAGAAATCGTCTAAGCAGACTCAACACACGCAAATCTATGGGCCCCAATAGAATGCACCCATGAATGCTGAGGGAGCTGAAGTGATTGGCAAGCCACTCTCTATCATCTTTGAAAGGTTGTGGAGAATGAGAGAGATGCCTGAGGACTGGAGGAAAGCCAGTGTCACTCCAGTCTTCAAAAAGGGCAAGAAGGAGGAATTGGGAAACTACAGGCCAGTCAGCCTCACCTTCGTCCCTGGGAAGGTGATGGAAGAAGTTGTTCTGAATGTCATCTCCAAACAAGTGGAAGAAGAAGTTATTGAGAGTAGTCAACATGGATTCCCTAAGGGGAAATCATGCTTGATCAGTCTGTTAGTCTATGATATTATCACCAGCTGGGTAGACAGGGAGAGCAGTGTACCTTGGCTTCAGCAAGGCTTTTGACAATTTCTCATAACATCCTTGTAGGTAAGGTTTGTCTATCCTTTGTGGCATAGACAAATGGACAGTGAGATGGGTTGAGAACTGGCTGATTGGCAGAGCTCAGTGGGTTGTGGACTGTGGCATGTGAAATCTATGTGAAAGTTAGAAGCCTGTGGCTAGAAGTGTTATCCAGGGATTGGTACTGGATCCAAACTTGTTTAACATTTTCATCAATGACCAGGGTGAGGGGATAGAGTTGTACTCTCAGCAAGATTGCTGATGATATGAAGCTGAGAGGAGTGGTTGACATACCAGAAGGCTGTGCTGCCACTGAGTGAGACCTGGACAGGCTAGAGAATAATGAGGATCCACATGGCAACTGTAGAGTCCTACATCTGAGGAGGAATAACCACACACATCTGTACATGTTAGGGGCTGATCTGCTGGAAGGGAGCTCTGCAAAGAAGGTCCTGAGTATCCTGGTGAACAACAGGTTGACCAAGAGCCAGTCGTATGCCCTTGTGGCTAAGAATGGCAATGATTTCCTGGAGTGCCTAAAATAGAGCATGGCCAGCAGGTCAAGGGAGGTGATCATCCCCTTCTACTCTGCCTTGATGAGGCTACATCTGGAGTACTGTGTCCAATTCTGGATTCCTCAGTTCAAGAAAAAGTGAGAAATTTCTGGAGAAAATCCAGCAGAGGTGCACAGAGATTATTAGAGACCTGGAGCATCTCCTATATGAGGATCAGCTAAGAGACCTGGGACTGGTTCAACCTGAAGAAGACTGTGGGGTGGATCTTATCAACATTTACAAATATCTAAAGGGCGGGAGTCAAGTGGGTGGAGTCAGTGCTGTATAGTGAGAGGCCAAGAGGCAATGGACACAAGCTAGAACATAGAAATTCCATGCATGTATGAGGCAAGACTGTGAGAGTGACTGAGCACCTAACAAGCTGCCCTGAGTAGTTGTCACCTCTGGAGATATTCAAAACCTGCTGGGTGTTTTCCTCTGTAACATGCTCTAGGGAACCAGCAAGAATGTTGGATTAGATGATCTCCAGAGGTCCCTTCTGACCCCTATGATG